CTTATCGACAATGGCGCGATCTATAAATTATAAAACACGCTAATATAAATAAACAAAAAGACTGAGGTTGCTTTCTCATGCGTCAAAGTAAAAGAAACTGATGGAAGTTTAAATAGTTAGGCTCCGGTGATCATGGAAACTGCAACTAAAGTCACTCAGCATGTACAAATAGCTCCGAGCACCTCATTTCTCCTTCTTTTGATGTCAATGATAATCTCAATAGCTGAATTATCACCAATAAAACTTTGCAAATAATAGAGTGTGTCTTTTTCCTTTTATTTCTTCTTTGAAAACTTAATCATTGACAGCTGACATATTTTCATAAATATAAATATTTATAACAATAATTAAAGACAAATTTGACATTTTTAGTAATTGTCAAAATATGAATGCCAATATGAGCGTGTTTAAGTAAAAATTAATCATTATTTTGCGGTCATCAGTTAAAAATGAAGTTATATACTCTTAATAACATGACGCTCATTTTATTAGCAATAAAATACCGGTCGTAATCTGGTCATAATTTTTTTTACTGAAGAAAGTCGGTTAACAGGACCTGTTTGATCAACTTCGACCCTCATTTCGACCTTTAACAACTCGTAACTCGATTAATCTTTACCGTGATCGTTAAATTTTGGTAAGCCTGTTTTGTATGATAAATAGTTTAAATTCATTGCATTGCAATCGAATTGTGGAATTTAAGGTTTTATTTTTCAGATAAAATTTTTAAAAAATGTTTCATAAGATTTAACACAAATATTTGATTTTTTTTTATACAAATTTAGTAACAATTAAGTAAAAAATCGTACTGTAGATAATGTTTAATATTAATTGATGTTATATTTAATTTCTTAATTTATATTTCTTCTTTTTTGTGATCAATAATATTAAAAAACTAAATGTATGGATAATTAATAATAAAAAAGAAGTATAACTTCTCAATGATTAATAATAATAATAATAATAATAATAATATCAATTATTGTATTTTCAAAAGTTATAAACATTTAATCGAAGGAAACTGATCTTTTTTGAATAGTTGAAAATCTGCAAAAAAGTATAACATAATTTATAGTTCCAAATTTTTACTCAATTCTGGATATTAGATATGAATTCTAGCATACAAAAATAATTTGCAATTATAACGAATATTTAAATAACAATTATTTTTTTGTAGGTTTTAAAATTTTATTTTTGGCCAGAGAAAAGTTAGGAAATTTTGAAATAAGTGTTCAGTCGTCACCCTGAATTAGCAATTGGTCTCTCCTTATTTTTTAGAGGGTGATTTTTAAATTTTGATGTAGCAATATTCTAATTATAAATTATTTCAATGATCCAAACCAAAATATTATACTTCTATTTTTGAAATAGACTTAAATTTTGAACTAATTGTTTTTCAAATTTTTGTGATAAATATTTGACACTACCCTGTAAAAATTTTTTAGAAGAATTTTTTAATAAAACTTAAAAATTATTTTGATTTTTTTCTGTAAAGAATTAAGTATCATAATTACGATAGCTAATTAATTAACACTTATTATTACACTGTAACATCTTATAAAGTTATTAAGTTTCATTTTATCAAGCGAGGAAGAAAACAAACTTTCTTATGTCTGTCAACTAAAATCAGATTGATCCGGCCGGATCCAAACAATTTTCATCTTCCTCATTTTCTGACAAACTTTCTCCACGGTAGTGCACACAGAACATAGAACATGGAACTTAGAACACAGGATCAGGAGACAGACAGGATATAGTATCAATTCGTATCATAGCGTATCATGGACATCCGTATAATTTAGCCGCGTAGTGTTACATGTCACAAGTATCATTATATTCATTAAAATCCAATCGACCTAGATAGTTCGTTTAGTAGTTTTATTTATGCTCCAATGATTCTATCATCGAAAATTATATCTTACGTTGATGACAAATAATTTGTGTGCATCACGGATAACGATAGAGAAAGCTTTGCTGGACGCGGATTTTTAGTTTTTGTTTCGATAAAGTGGTTTTACTAACTGGAGCAAATATTTGTTGTTTATTATGTTATGATTATTATAATTCATAAAATTAATTGTTCATTCACTTTTCATCTTTTGTACATAAAAGAAATTTTTCTATAATTTAATTTTTTTTTTTTATCTCTAGATACATAATTAAAAAATTACCTTGTATCTCGTGAACTATTGACATTTTTAAAGATATAAGCTCATCCCGATGTTAGACTCATCAAGACCTTTCATTTGAGTACCCACATCAATTTTTCATATATTTTATATATTTATATATATATTATATATATGTATATATGAAAAATATATCAAAAATGCATGTGGGTACTCAAATGAAAGCTCTTGATGAGTGTAACATTGGGATGAGCTTATATCTTTAAAAACGTCAACGTCAATAACCAGTAAATAAATCATTTTATAATTCATTGAATTTTTCTTTAATAATAAATATCATAAAAAATTATTAACTAAGAAATATCTTGAATTTTCCATTCACATTACCATATTTCTCTTAATTTTATACTAACTACGAATCAACAAATTATTTGCGCTAAGTAATTGTTCTAATTACTTCCGTCAAAAGTATTTTTTAATTATTGACTTATATAAGACTTACAAAAACACTATATTTAAATATTTGTTTCTCTTTTAGAAAATTAAAAAAACTAATTATACTACTTACTAATTGCGTAAAACAAATTAGGGCTCTGATAATTGAGATAGTACACTAATAAAAAAGAAAAAAAAAACATTCACTTTTAGTCGCATACATTATTATCAATTTACATTCATTTTTATTTCCTACAATTATTTTTTAATTGAACTTTTTCTTAATTAATTATGCCTCGAATTTATCAAATGTAAAATTAAGAACAATATCTTTATCAAACAAATTTTTTTTCTTGAATTTAATTAATTTTTTTATCATTGTAAAGATATTTAGACTTCTTTTTCCGAAAGTTCGAGAGTTAAACACTCTATGTTGTAAAAAAAAATAATTATTTAAAACTATCAATTACGTATTCAGTAATAGATATTAATATTAACTTAATAATTATATCCAGAGGAGTTAAATATTTAAAAACATATAACAACTTTTCCGGAAATATGTCTCGAGTCATTTAATTTAGTATTTACAGGACGTTCTTCATCATCTCTAAATCCAGTGAAAGCATATATATTTCCCGGAAACCCAGTAAACTCTGTATCTATTTAATATTCATCAACAAATTCATATTTCATTTTATATTTATATTTATGTCCCATACGTAACTCTTGGGTAATTTTATTTTTCAAACATATAATTTATAAATCAAACAGGAAAAAGTCAATACGGTTACTTAATATCGTCTTAATATTTTTTATTATAAAATTATTTATTTAATTTACTTTTTCAAATTTTAATAAAACTCTATTCTTTATTTCCAATAAAAATTTATACAATTAACACAGAAATTAACACATTTTTGATTGGAAATAAATAATAATAATTTTTTTGTATCACAATTTTTATCAAAAAATTAATTTTTTAATTTTGGATCAATTTTTATTCAATTACTTTAGATAAATTTAATTTTTCAGTAGTTAATTTAAATTCTAGCTAAATATGAGATACATAAAAAATAATAGAGACCTTTTTTGAAGAAAATTAAATTTCCTATAAAAAAAAGTCTCATTATTTTTCCAAATTTTTAATATATTAGCCATAATTTAAAACTCAAACTTAAACATAATTTTTATTTCTCATAAAAAATCTTACATTCTTAAAAAATTTTTTTTATAATAATTTTTATACTGAAAAATTATCACATATTTTTGGTATCATATTTGAACATTAATTTCATAATATTATTATTTTTGACATAATTTAGTAACAAAAATTAAGCAACACACAGCAAACAAAGATAAGATATTAAACTAAAAAATGAAGTAATAATTAAAAATTAAAAGACAAAAATTCTACCGACATTAATCATCAAACTATGAATGAGAAGTAATAAAAACCGTGAAAGAGGGTGCTTTCTTCACCGTATTATTTACTAGTTCACTGCTACGGAGTGTAGCCTATACTTAATATCTAAAAGTATAATAACAAGTAGTGTTTTGAGAAAAGTAAGGAGGGAGAGTAACAGAAGTGGGTCGGCTTATTACTTGCTTCGTTTGTATAGTAAGTCAGTCTTCGAGAACGTTGCATTCGTTCAGGATACTCTGTACCGCGTTCTCTTTAAATAAAAAATTCACATTCACTTTGCTTTAATTTCCCCAAAGTTTTCCGGAAAAACCAGTTCGATAACTAATAAATCAATTAATTTCTTTTCATTTTTAAATCAAAAGTGTTAAAATTACCCAAGCAACAAAAAACAATGTTGACTTTTTGATAAATTTTAACAAGAAGTTAAAAAATTAATAATCGTCAAAAAAAAAAAATTCTTGTGCCGCTTGAGTACACAAAAATCTTTTAAAATTAAAAAAAAATTTTTTTTGCAAAAGTAAGATGTGTTTTATATTAAATAAAATCTTAAGAACAAATTCCTAAAATGTTTGAATCTTGTGCAGTGAAATCGTGAGAGAAATTGCAAGTGAGAATTGTTTTATTCACTGAGTCGTACAATACTAAAAAATTTATATATAATTAATTTAAACGTGACTAATAATTTATTTTTAACAAAAAAAAAAAAATAATTTAAATGGATGACTAAATAAATAAAAAAAGAGAGATTGTTTTAATTATTGAGGAAAGTTGTGGAAATATTTAAAAAAAAAAAAATTTATTTTTATTAAAGAGAATTTAAACGCACGATCGATTTCTGATCAAGCAAAGTAAAGTTGTTAATTCAATTGGCCATCAGTCAAATTTTCCCTTTTTTAATTTAAATAAAGTCGAGAAGTAAAGCGTGAAATCAACTCTCACTTCTCGGAGTTTGAATTTAAAAATTACCATAGCAAATATTAGACAGTAAAAGTGATAAAAAAAAAAAAAAATAAATAAAAATGGGCGATATAAGAATCCTGGATCCGCGAATGGATCCGCGGTTCGGAGGGGATTTTAAACCGCGACCGTGGCCGGCGATGTACAGAAATTATCCAGCACGTGGTCCGTCATTTTGCTACCGGCCTGTACCAATAGAGACACTTACGCAGTGGATCGCGCCCCATTTGCCCCACGATTATAATTATAATGTGATCCCTCCGGGGATAAGGCCGAAAAAGGGCCGAGAAATGGGGACTAGAGATTACTATTATCTCGGCCCGATGTACCAGAACGCGCTTCCGCCTCCTAATGGGCCTAGTGGGCCTGGATTGCAAATGGCCCCGATGACCATGGCGCCTCCGAGGATGATGTTGATGGAAGGAAAGTCCAGGAATGGGACCAAGACTTCTTCTTCAAACGGGGCTGGGAGGAGCAGTGTGCCTTGTACTTGCTCGGTTGGAAGGACGAGGTCCCTTGAAGATGTCAGGAGCGAAGTTGTAGAGTGGGAGGAGTACAGTGATGAAAATGGAAATCGGGTTAAAGGAAATCCTAAGGCTCATGGCAAACACACTAGGCGGTCTATGGAGAATCTTCTGGATGTTGATAATTCTTGCAGCACTACTTTTAATCGGAAGTCGTGCGGGGGGAAGAGTAGGCAGGAGGGAAGAGATTGCAGGAGAAGAGGAAGTTATATGGTTTGTTTCTTTAGCAGGATTTTATATCTATATGCGTATAAAAAAAAATTTCTTTAGATTGAATTTAATTTAATCTATATTATTAAGAGAGTAAGAAAAATTTTATGTTCAGGATAGTCAGGATAAAATAGGTTTTTTTAGTGAAGTTTAGTGTCATTGTAAAGGTCTTGTGCCTTTTCAAGGTTTCATTTTATTCTCGCTGATAGTTAATTTATTATGATATGTATTTAGGCTGCATTTGAAAATTATCTCTAGATACATAATTGAGAAATGACCTTGTATCTTGTGAACTATTGACATTTTTAAAGATATAAGCTCATCCCGATGTTACACTCATCATGAGCTTTCATTTGAGTACCCACATCAATTTTTCATATATTTTATATATTTATATATATTATATATTATATATTATATATAGGTATGTATATATGACAAATATATCAAAAATGCATGTGGGTACTCAAATGAAAGCTCTTGATGAGTGTAACATCGGGATGAGCTTATATCTTAAAAAATGTCAATAATGAAGAAATGACATTGTATCTTGTCAACTAATGATATTTTTAAAGATATAAGCTCATCCTGATGTTACACTTATCGAGACCTTTCATTTGAGTATCCACATCAATTTTTCATATATTTTATATATTTATATATATATATATGAATATATGAAAAATATATAAAAATGCATGTTGATACTCAAATGAAAGCTCTTGATGAATGTAACATCGGGATGAGCTGATATCTTTAAAAATGTCAATATCTAAGAACTGACATTGCTATCTAGTCAACTAATAATATAATATTCCTGTCAACTATAATATCGTCCAGACGAGAATGTCTTTATTTGATTTAGTTCATTAATCTGATATATTAATTGGAAAAAATTTATATTTGTTCCATTAAAAAATACAAAAAATGCCAAGTACAAATATTAAGAAAGTAAACATAAAATTCTTTATTTAAATTTAGTATTTTAAATATTTACTAACGTTCAATTAATTTATATATATCCGCGTGCGGAAAAGTGTCATGCTATTACTTTCGATTCATAAAAGTAACGAGATAATTTTTACAACCAAGAAAATGAGTGTAAAATATAAGTAAGAGGTGTGATAAGAAATAAATGTCAATTGAGCAACAGGATATAGTTACAGTTAACACTTAACTCGAATTATTGGAATATGTTTTATGTATTAATGCCAAATGATCAATATTCGATATCCAAGACTAGTTGCATTTATTTTAGTTTTATGAGCTTTAGAAAATTTAATAAACTAAAAATTCGTTCAAATAGTTTATTTTTGAATATTTTTAAATTTTATGAGAGAGAAATTGATTGTGTATTGATATAATTTAGATTAAAAACTGTTTTATAGCTTTGAATGAATTTGAAAAAAATTTTTAGTTTTTTCTACTTTTAAAAAGTACTTTCAATTATTTTCTATTTCTGTTTAAACAAAAAATTAAAAAAAAAAAATAAGAAGAAGAAATAAAAGTAAAAACTTTAAAAAACAACTTCCGTTAATATGTAATAATAATAATAATAATAATAATAATATAATTAAAAAAAATTTTTTCCGCCAAAAACACTTGTTAAAAACGATGTCAACAAAACACCGTTTAGCGACACTTGAAAACATTAAAACGGTTCCTCCAAAGTACAATCACTAATGAATAACAGTAATTTAGCTCCATAACTTTCTATTTTTTGCAAACAGGACACACTGTCCTTTAAACCTTTGACAATCGCTAAATAGCTACCTTATTATTTAATATAGACAGCTAAAACAATGTCTTCTTCCTCAGCCATATTTCCAAGATCACTTTCTACTTTAAAGTCGCAAAAAGTCACCACAAATTATCGTCATAAAAAATAGTAATAAAAAAAAAAACATTTCCAAGCATCCAAATTTCTCCAAAAAAAAAATCTACAAGATAAGATAGTTTCTAGTAATTTAACAATTTCGATTGGAAAGTTCCTATCGGTCACTTCTTACTAACTTTAACCCGTCAGAACTCACATGAATTTTAGTGTCTCACTTGCACTACAGCGCCGCTCTATAAGTCGGATGTTGTTGCGTGAGCAAAATGCTCATAACGTGAGTGCTGACGGGTTAATTTCAATTACAAACTAATAAATTTATTTTAATGACTGCTTATTGAAATATTACGCTCTTAAAACTTGGAAATAATTTAATAACACTCAATAAATAATTTTTTACTTGCATATTATTTTATTTTTATTTTTATTTTTATTTCTATTAATTAATTCTTTATTATTGCCGTAAAATAATGAAGAAAAGACTTTTGTCAATTATTTAAAATTATTTAATATATATTAATAATAAAAATAATATAAACAATAATAAGTTCAAACTAATTGTCGGTAATTGAAATTTCATTTAAGTTCGTTGTAATTTAAATAAATAAAATAATTTTAGTAATTAAAATTAGCTGAAAAATTTTCTTAAAATTTTTTTTTTTATTAAATATTATTATTAATATTTTTTATAAATTAAAATTAAAATATCCAAAATCTATTTTTATTAAATTGAGGCAAAAAATAAATGACTTTATTTAATTACTAAAAAATACAATCATAATTATAAATTAGATTTTATTTATAAAAAAAAAAAAAAAAGCTGATTGTATTATTAAGAAACTATAAAAAAGATTGAGCAATGAATTAAATTAAAAAATACAAATAAAGATGTTGTGCAAGGTGTATTATATCTAGGATCTTTAGCAATAGCGTTGTCGCGAAATCCTAGTGAACAATCAACAACAATCCGGGTATTGAGCATCAATGCGTGAACATCAATAATTTCATAAGAATAGAGAAAATACTTCCGTTTTACATTTGCTATTTGCTATTTAGTATATAGTATCTGGGACAGACTGCAGCTGTTTAATTTACTTATAAGTTTTATAAATAAATACATAAATAAATATATTAAAACACAAGTCATTCGCTTTATCAAACAATTCGCTTTACTAATTTTACTTGTAAACTTTTTTTATCGGAATTTCTATATGCTGAGAATAGTAAATACTTTCTCGTGCACTTTCGAAAAATTCTGGTAGATATAGATCTTCTTTATAAAAAAATTTTTTAATTTAATAAAATTCATCCAATAATTTTTTTTTTAATGATACAAAATCTTTAAGTCTTAAATTTTTGAAAAATTTATTTATTTATTTATCAATATTTATACCAAGGATCCATAAGCCGAATGGCAAATTAAAAATATATTCAAATTTATAAAAAAAATTTCAAATAAATAATAAAAATTCTAATTTATAATAAAAGTTTTCATAAAAGCATACAAAAAAAAGAAATAAAGATAAAATTTTTAAATAATTTGTTTTATTCAGAAAATTTGACTCAAAAAATTTAATTTTTTTTCTTTTGTAAAATTTACACTTTTCTTAAAAAAATTAGCATTATTGTGACAAGAAATAAATTTTATTTTTTATCAAAAAATAGTTCATTTTTTTTTAATAAATTTTTTCAATAATTTTTGTACCTAAAATAAATTAATAAGAAGATTTAATTATAAAAAATGTATAAAAATTAATCTATTTAAAAGTTACAACTGAAACTTGATAAAAAACTTTTCTTTCAATGGAATAATTAAAAACGTATAACTAAACTAACGAATAATTAAGAAGAATCGTAAATCTATTCGGTCACTCAACTTTCTACGTGTAACAGCATGTTAAATCATTAGATTCTGTTAAGAAAAATAAAATTATTACTTTACTTACAGTTATGCCGACGTTAATAAGGCAATACATTGGTGGGTGTCTACCGAACCGTATAGTTTACATCGTACATTTATTATTATTTAACCACTAAACATTACCGTTTAATCCGAAATTTTGCAATGTTAAATTGCCAATAATTAATGCAAGTATGCAATACTAAATATTCCATCCAATTATTGATTATGATCACGATAAATGATAACCCACGACCTATCATCAATTATCATTATCAATGCTTTCCACATTTTTTTAATGTTGATTATTAATTTAATGTTGCAGCCAGAACCAAGGTCCGAGCTAGACTCGACAAATGGAAGTAGTCATAATGGAAGACCGAGATTTGTTCCTGTTACCGCTCTTGAAGATGTTCAAGCTGTCAGATGCGCTGAATTTCATCCTCATGGGAAACTTTATGCAGTTGGGTCTAATTCAAAAACTCTTAGAATATGCGCGTATCCAAAACTTCATGATGTTCGGTAAATATGTTGTACTTTTTTTTTTTTTAATCTTAAGTATTAAATAAATTAATTAATCAATTATATAAAATTTTAAAAAGTCCGTATTAATGAATAAAAATTTCATAATTTTTATTAAAATTGTTACATTGAAATTAGCAATGAAAATAAACTTAGCCGACTTCTAAATATTGTTGGAAATTTTTTTTATAGAAAAAATTATTAAAAAAAAAAATTAATTTGTAAAAAACTTGAAAAACTTTAAGTGCAATTTTTTAAAAATATTCTTTAGTTCTAATTTAATAAATAAAAAAAAATCAAAAACTTTAGCTAATTTTAGAAGATTGATATTTTGAATACTAATAAAGTTAACCTGTTTTTAATTTTTTGATTTTTCTTTGATAATTAAATTATCATCTTCTATAATTTGTATTTTTTGTATCACTGAGTTAAACTGTTAAATTTTTTAAATTTTTAATACTCAATTTTTTTATCCTCAAATTTATTTTCTTTGTTTTATTTGTCAAATTTGTATTCCAAATTAAGAAAATAATATTTCATAAAAAATAATCAATTTTTATATCTAATATTTTCTAAACTAATAGATATCTAATTTTTTCTAAACTTTATATCTTCATTAGACTTACGTGTACTTTATTATAACTCTTTTTGTATACTTTTGCCATCTGGCTATACTGTCTTGGCATTGAAATGAAATAATAAATAAATAAATAAATAAATAAAATAAATTGGAACAAAAAAATATTTTTCAAAAATTGCACTTACAGTTTTTTAAAGTTTGTTACAAATAAAATTAAAAAAAATTTTTTTTTGCAATAATTTTTTCAATAAAAAAAAATTCTAAAAATTTTTAGATTATTTTAAATTAAATTAAATTACATTACATTAAAGATTCTACAAAATAACTTTTATAGCACTTATTAATAAAAATTAAAAGAATTTACAGCCTCTATGAGTTAGCTAACTTTAATATTATAAATTATCAGTCATCTAAAAATTTTTTGAATTTTTATTAAAAAAATGAATTTTTAAAAATTTGTACTAAATTTTTTTCAGTATAATTTTATAATTATAAAAATCTAAAAAATTTTTTGATGTCTGTTAAATGGATCATATTAAAGTTAACTGATATTTTTGATTTTTTTTTTTTCATTTATTTAATTAGAATTAAAAAAATATTTTTTCAAAATTGAACTTTAAGTTCTTCAAATTTATTTATTTTTTACAAAAAAATTTTATTTTTATTTTTTTGTTAAAATTTTTTCAATAAAAAAAAACTATAAATTTTTAACTGCCGTCTAATTAAATTTTCATGTTAAATATTGTATTATTTATGGATAAAATAATGAATTTTATAAAAGATCAGTCAAAAATTTTGTGCTACAACAAAATGTCGCCCTTTTCATGTTAGCCCCATGAGATATAACGTACATAGATGGCGCACTAGTAAGCGCGCAAAATTCAAAAGCTCATCAAGTGTCACTTAAATTGTGGGAAAGAAATGATAATTATAAAAATGAAATTAATTTATAATCATAAATAAAAAACCAAGGGAACGTTATTTAAAATTGAAACTTGAGGAATAAGAGACTATTGTTAAGAGTTAATGTCACTTTCCTTCATCACCTGGTTCCCAAGAATATTTCTCCCTCTTAGTTGGTACTTGTTGTACATTGGGACATAATTAAATCAGAGCTCAGGCTCCGTTACTTATATAGACAGAATAACTACATATAAATGAAGAATAAGAAGCTGAGTGAAGGAAGAAATAAGAAACGAAAGAGTAGAGTACTATTTATTATATTAAGTCTACTTTCTCAATCTCTTTTACTGCAGCGTCGATTTTTTAATTAGCTAGTTTGTATTTTCTCACTCACTTTAATCTCTGGAAAATAATGTAGTTTCACTTGAATTATTATTTTTATAATTTTACTTATTTTAATCTTCAATCGATGGATAATAATTATTTAATTATTTTATAATTTGTGGGATTGTCGAAGAAAGCATTCTTGAGTAAACGGAATTTTACTTAATATAGACTTCTAATCTAATAATAAATTTTTTTTTTATACCGAAACACTTTCTCGAGTTAAAACGAATCAAATTCACAGCGTGATTTAATGGGAGTTTCTTCATATGAATGAAACTTATAAAATTTAAAGTCAAAATAGAAAACTCGGGATATAATTTTAAAATAAATCATTTCTTTGTATACAATTGATATTTATTTATTTTATATTTTGATGCTTCAAGTTAAAATCCTAGAATTTCATGCTCCGGTTAGTATGAAGGTCCTTCTTGCAATACGTTGTACTATTTTAATTTTACTTGTTACTTATTTTTTATCGTTTATTTTTATACATATTTGAAAGTAATTACCATTAATAAATTAAATAAAAATTATTATTATTAATTACTAATAAATTGATGACGAAGTTAGTGTTGATTTATAGGAAAGAGTAAGAGAAGAAATTTGACAAATCTTATGATTGGAGTTAATTCAATTAGGTTAATTAAATCATTTAATTATTTATATTTATTTTGCTGTCATTCAAAATTTAATGGGTTTAATAATATTTTTTATTTAAATTAATTAAATATTTTATTAAGTACTAAATAAAAAATTTTAATATTGATATTTTTTTTTTTATTATAGTGAAGACCATCAGACATACCAGCCTACAGTACTCTTCAAGAGAACGAAGCATCATAAAGGCTCAATATACTGTCTTGCATGGACACCTGATGGCCAATTAATGGCTACTGGAAGTAACGATAAGACCGTTAAATTGATGCGATTCAATGCTGATACTTCAAATCTAGAGGGTTGGTACTCTATTCTTTTTATTCGTTTGTCAATTTACTTATTTTTTGTTTATTTTTATTTATATATTTTTCTTTTTTTTTTTAAGAGTAAGGTCAAAAAATATTGTTATTTTTTGTTAATTGGAGTAATTTTTACATTTTTATTTCTAAAAATAATTAAAAAAACAAAAGTAATCCATATTATTAAGAGAATAAGCAAAATTTTGTATCGATAAGTATTTAATACGTATAAGAATTTTGTATTGATAAGTATTTAGGCTGTATTCGAAAATGCTCTATCTCTAGATACATAATTAAGAAATGACCATGTATCTCGTGAACTATTGACGTTTTTAAAGATATAAGCTCATCCCGATATTACACTCATCAAGACCTTTCCTTTGAGTACCCACATCAATTTTTCATATATTTATATATATTATATATGTGTTTTTTATGAAAAATATATCAAAATGCATGTTGGTACTCAAATGAAAGCTCTTAATGAGTGTAACATCGG